ACCAGGGGAGGATGGTGAAGGCTGGCACCTGTCTGTTCCCCAGCTTCCACCAGTGGAGAGGGCCCTTTCCTTGGGATGAGTTGTGCCCGGAGCTAACATGAGCGGAGTGGGGGTCTTTGATGGGGCTCACATGGTCTCCACTGTCATCCCTGGCAGGTGAATAAAGAAGAAGAGACAGACGAGAATGAAACGGAGTGGCTGATGGAAGAGATCCAGCTGCCAACTCCAAGACCAGGGAAGGACGGGCAGGAAAACGGCCATCTTACCACCAAGTCCGTGAAGGCCGAGGCCCTCAGCTCCCTGCGTGGGGATGACCAGGACAGCGAGGATGAGGTTCTGACCATCCCAGAGGTGAAAGTTCACTCGGGCAGGGGAACTGGGGCAGAAAACTCCCATCTAGCAAGAAATGCACAGAGGAAGGGCCCTGGAGAGTGGGCGGACGATCGGGCAGACGATCGGGCAGGGTTGATCAAGGGAGAGAAGGTGAGAAGAGGCAAGCCCAAGTCTGCCCAGCAGACAGCCACGGCCCCCGCCAAGCTGGTGTCCTTCCATGATGACAGCGACGAGGACCTCTTACACATCTGACTCCGCAGTGCCTGCAGGACGTGGAGCTGGGGACAGCCAAGCACCTCCAACCAAAAAAGACTTCAATTCAACGATGCTTCAGTAATTTTGCCTTTAACAAAAACTGTCTCAAAAGGGAAGAGTTTTTGTGCTGGAGGAGAGGGTGCGGGAGGTCAGGCCCTGCTCCTCCACGAGTGTTTACAGTCATTGGAGTAAGGTCTGGCTCAGCTGGCGCGGGGCGGGGCCTTGTCCCCGGGGTTCTGCCTCAAGTCCTCATTTGAAAGCATAAGGCCAGACACATCTCAGAACAGAGCTGTATTTGGGAAAAAACTCTTGCTGCTTTAGGCCCTGTAGGGTATTTGACCATTGTATTGAGCATTTTAATTCTCTCTCCCTATTTATTGACTTTGACAATTACTCAGGTTTGAGAAAAAGGAAAACACTTAGCAACAGTTTCTTCCTGCCGGCAGGGTGTCACGTGCCAGGTTTTCCACTCGAGAAGGGGAGGCTGTCAGTGTGCTGAGTACTCATCTGTCTCTCTTCTCTTTTGCTATCTGTTTCTTACGGGCACACACGTGTGCGTGCACACACGTACGTGCACAGGGTCCCGAGTGCCTAGGTTTGGAGGGTTCACCTGCTCTGTGTTTGCAGTTGGGAATGGCTGCGGCTTTGCATGGCACCGGCAGCCCCAGGTGTGCAGTGCACATTTGTCAGTATTGCTTTCACCGGCTGGTGAATCAGACAACCCACCCAAAGATTGATTTTTTTTTTTTTTTTTTTTTTGTGAGGGTCGAGTTCAGATGTCAGAGAAAATAACTTTTTTTTCCATATTTGGGGTATAGGTCTCATCTCTTCAGGTTCTCATGATACCACCTTTACTGTGCTTATTTTTTTTAAGAAAAAAGTGTTTATCGACCATTCGACCTATGAGAAGCCTTAATTTGCACAGTGTGTGACTTACAGAAATTGCATGAGTAAGGATGGGCCGAATCTCGCCCCGGCGTTGCACTTGGATTCGCGCGTGGAGGGAGGCCAAGGTGGCCACTCAGAGTGTTGCAGGAGGGGAAGGCCATGCTGGGGCTCTGCCACTGGCTGCCCACTCCCTTCTTGAAGTGTTTAATGAGTGACTTTTCTCACATTATGGAATTGTATATAGACGCGATGGTATTCATATACTGAAAAGCAAACCGCACTGCAGAATCGCTTGGTTTTAACGGTTTGGCTGGCTTATTTGATTTCAACATGAGTGTATTTTTTAAAATTGATTTTTCTCTTCATTTTTTTCCAATCAACTTTACTGTAATATAAATTATTCAACAATTTCAATAAAAGATAAATTATTAACTGGGTGTTGGAATTTTCTTCCTCCACCCCCGCCCCTGGATCGCGGAAAGTTCTGAAGCCGGTTGCCAGTCTCTCTGCCTGGCTTTGCGCCCTGTGCTGTTACAGAAATGTTTGAATTGGGTGTTGAGGCCGACCCATTAGGAAATGGCACTTCAGTTTTTCTCCGGAGGCTTCCCACTTGCAGGTGTTGACTCTGGGTCGTCTGCCTCCCCTCGGCCTTTCCCACATCTGACTTCTTCACTCCAGACCTTGCCGTATGTCCTGTTTCCCAAAACAATGGTCAAGGATTCCAGAGACACAACAGAGCACCCTTGTGTGCAGCCAGATCTAACATGGAGGGGGTCGTTTTTTTTTAAGTGAGTTAACAGACTCCTCTATCTTAAATTACTGTTTAGAAATTGGGAGCCTCCCTGAAAGCAGAAAGTTACTAGAATATTAAACCCAGACTTCTCCACCTCATTTTCTAATTAGCCAATTGGAGTTTCCTTTTATTTCTTAAAGTAAAGATTTTATAGGATTCTCTGGAGGTAGAGGTTCTGAGGTCTTATTAAGTTTACATTATAAACAAAGTCACTGGTCCTTAGCCATTGTGTTCAGGGGCTGATCACTAAGCACATGCACCTCCTGAGAAGGCCATGGGGACTCCTGCTGGTAAAAAGGGGCCTTCCCAAGGACCTGCTGGCCCCCTTGGTGAGCTCAGTGGCAGGAGCTGTATGTTTACAGGCTAGCTTGTGTCTGGCCCTCAGAGGGGAGAAGCGATGACAGGCGCCATGTGAGCACATCTGCTTTGATTCTTTCCTTAAGATCCTATACAGTTTCTAGCTTCTGAAAAAAAACAGGGTTATTGTCCTTGCCAGCTATTGTTACAGGTATTTTTAGGAAAACATGTCCTAACAGCAAATAGAAATTAGAATCTTTTCAAAGGAATAATTTTATCGATGAGTATACCCCTAAAGAAAAAACTGTACCCCTGACACGTAGTTTTCTTTTAACCAAGTTTTCTGTGCTCCTTGAGATTTTAAACTGTCTGTTGAATGGCAGAGACACAGAATAAGAAAGGGGGTGTGTCCCAGGACCACACAGGCAAACCTCATGCCAAGGAGAGCCACCTTAAAGAGGAAACCTGGCTCTGACCTTGAACGTATTTCTGTGTTTCACCAACCACAAAACTAATACATCACCCAACACAATTCCTTTCGGAAGGATGACTGCCATCTTGGTCATTAAAATATTTTGGGCTAGTCAGCCCATCACTCTCTTTGTACTAGTTAAGGGACGTGTGGACATGCAGGTCTCACCTGCACATGGCCTGGATCACAAGGGGCCCATCTGTGTGGTATGAATGAGACTCACTTTCCTAAAGTCCCTTTACACGCCTCTGAGATGCTCTGGCTCTGTGAGATGCACTCCCGCCGTCCAGCTCTGCTCTGCTGACTTGGAGTGAGTTGGTTAGCCTTTCTTGCCCTCAACATACACTTGCTGTTTGTTCTGGACACTCTTCTGTGAGAACCGAGTAAACAGTCAGGTGCAGGTGTGGTGTGAGTGGGGGTGGGGAGGCCAAGTAGCCGTGTGAGGGACACAGTGGCCAGGAGCCAGCCCCTTGTGAAAGTCACAGTCTGGGGTTCGGACTTTTCTTCCCAAAGCAGTTGGGAGCCATGGGAGGGCTGGATTTTGCTTTTGATTTGGAGAAAGAAACTAGAAGAAAGTGAAGAGATGGAAACACTTGAGCACGTGGACAGCAGGATCGGGCATGAGAGGCCGTGGCTGTGCAGCTCTGCCCAGAAGGAGGTCCTCACCTGGAGAAAATAGTGTCTTTTTCTTAAAGGCACCAGAAAAAGCCAAGGGGAGGCTTGTGAATGGCTGGTTATTTGTATTTCTTTGTCTCTTATTCTGTTTTGTATTTTGACCAGTTTGCTAATAAAATCCAATCAAAAATGTTTCATTGTGTCACTTTGATACTATTGGGAAACATAGTAGAACTAAACATAGTAGTACATAGTAGAACACCTGCACCTAGGGCTTTGCCCTAGGAGGGTGGAAATAAAATGTATTTCACTCAAAGCCCAGGCAGGGCCACGTGGCAGCAGCTCTTGGCCCCAACCTGGAGAAAATAGCTTTAGGGAGCGGCTGGTCAGTGATGTCCAAGTGACCGAGTGTTGCTGAACGCAGCAGAGCCCCAAGAGAAGCGGGAGGCTAGGTTCCAAAAGGGACCTAGGACTTCACCCTTGGCTTTGAGGTTTTTTTCTTTTTCTTTTCTTTTTTTTTCTAACGTGAAGACAATGAGAACATACAGACGATTTGAACATGCTGAAGAGATGAATGACTAGGGACAATGTGGCTTCTCTGATGCTGTTCCCAGATGCTCCTATGAACGAGGGCTTCTCCACCCACCTGGATGTCAGCATCAAAACCAGAACACCAGGGTGGCGTGTTGCTACCATCTAAGCCTCAGGTCCTGTTCAGGCATCTCCAGTTGTCACAATAATGCCCTTTTTGACACAGATCCTGAGGATGGTGGGTTGTATGCAGTCACTGTCCCACCTTGGTTTGCTCTCTCTGAAAGTCTCTTTCCTTTAGCCTCTGTGACCTTGATGTATGACGTTACCCTCATTGGCCCCCCCAGACACGCCCTCCTCACTGTCCACTGCTCTGCTCTACCTGGTAGCTGTGGACTCAGCTGTTTAGGAATGATTGCGGAGAAGACCCTCAGGGCCTGGTGGAAATCATCCTTGAACTTTTTTTTTTTTTTTTTTTGCAGTTTTTGTCCAGGGCGGGTTTGAACCCACCACCTCCAGTAAATGGGGCCAGCGCCCTACTCCTTGAGCCACAGGCGACACCCCCATCCTTGAACTTCTTGTTGGCACAATTAGGGACTGTCATATAGCAGCGCTTCCCAAAGTGTGCCCCATGGCACACTTGTTTTGTATGATTTTAACAGATGTTCTGCAAAAAGTGAAAAGGCCCTGGGCTCTAATAAGTTTGGGAAATGCTGGATTGAAGTGAAAGGGCCTTTCCTGCTAAGAGACCTCTCAAACTCTTTAAAGGAGAGACTGCTAAGTACACATGCAACAGTAGGTATGTGGCCAGGGAGCCTCCTGAGGATATAATATGCACACTTTCTAAACATTGGCCTGTGTCCCTCCGGGAACTTAGTGGGCTGAGGGCCATTGCCAGAAACGCTCATGGGTGGCAAGAGTCTGTTGTCTTTCCCAGAGCCCCTGGGCAAGCAGCCCTCCGCTCTTTGAGGGACTCCTGGTTTCTCCCTTTTATATGTGAGATGCAAATGCCAGTGAACTTTGTTTTTCTCTCGCTAATCTTATTCTGTTTTTATAGGGTTCCCAGCCCCAACTCAGAAGGGTGGAAGAATATGAAGCTCCGTGAGTCTTTTCCTGTCACAGTTGTTAATATCCTGGTATGGGGCTTAAAGTAGACTTTCAGGATCATTTTTTAGGGCGCATGATTGGATAAAAAAAATGAATAAATTTTCTGCATCACATTTTTAATTACTCCCTGCAATGGCTGGTGAAGGGAGGATGTAGGGGAAGCCGAGAAATTCCTCCCCTGGGCTCCTCCTGGAGGCTCTGTACCCCAAGGGCAGGCCCTGGGCCTTTGGTCTCTAGACTTGTTCATGAGGGCTGCCCAGACAAAGTACCACAGACGGCCACTCACAGCCTTGGAGGCCAGAAGCCCAAAACCAAGACCTTGGCAGGGCTGGGTCCCTCTGCGGCTGTGATAGAGAAGCTGAATTCCAGCCGGACCGTGGTGGTCTCCTCCTGGCAGGCACGGAGGGCTAAGTGGGTCCCCTGGGGGCCTGATGAGGAAGGCTTGTCCAGCCTGCAGGGGCCTAAGTGCAGCCCCATTGAGGTGGGAAGGGTGCCCAGGCTGCTGTCCCCTCACACCCAGGGTTTCTGGGGGATGGCCGGCCTAGTCTCCAGTAACTAACTTGAAGAACCATTGCTGATTTTTTCAAGTATGCATTTCCCACAAGGACTGTGACAGGGATTTCCAGCCCTGTGTGCCGATGGCCCCCTCACTAGGAACATCCTCTGGAGTCTCTGGATAGCACCACGGTCTCACCCTCGAGCCTGGTTCTTCCCTCCTCTATATTTTCCACTAGCCCCACCTCTGCTCCAGCTCCTGTGGCTGGCTCTGTCCCCATCTCCACACTGGTGGCCTGGGGAGGTCTTGAGGCCTGGAATAGACAAGGGATAGCCACTGGAATTTGCGTCTAGTTGGACATTTGGTGAATTGGGTTCCAGAAGAGGGAGTTTTGGAAAACTGATCAGCAGTGATGGGCTTTGAGTGAAGTGAGGGCCTGAGACCTGGCCTGGAGCCAGCTTTGTGACCTTGGCAAACAACCCTCCACTCCAGGGTTGGTTTCTCATCTGCCACATGTGGGAACTCACAGTGCCCATCAGGTCATGAGTGGCTAAGTGAGGACAGTGGGACTGGTCACTCAGCAGTATTGATTGCCTGAGATCTCCACCCATCCCTCTGTGGACCTGAGCCATGGGACTGGGAGACATGCAAAGGCAGGGTCCAGGGGGAGGAAGGCCTCCTGCTCACCAGTCCAATAAAACAAGAGGATCCAAGCCTCCAGGCAGCTCCTGCTCAGAGCCGGGGCAACTGCTTTTCTCCACAGAGTGTGTGAACAGCAGGCACCGGGCCTGGGCACTCGGGGTAGGGTTGGGGCCAGGGAGGAAACCTGATTTCTCCCTAGTGTATGAGCAGCAGGCACTGGGCCTGGGCACTCGGGGCGGGGGTGGGGCCAGGGAGGGAACCTGATTTCTCCACAGTGTGTGTCGAGAGCAGGACCTTTGTCCTGGCTGCTTTGCAAACACAAGCAGGGCACTCGTGTTGGAGGTGGGCTGACTCTGGGTGTGCCCCACCACCTTCCTTTGGGGAGGGCTTCTGCACACCCTCTTCTGGGGCTGCGCTCAGTCCCTTGGGCAGTGACCCCCTGTGCCCTCCCTGGACAGCAGCTGAGCATTTCCAGAGAA